ATATCTTTATATACATATATAGGAATAGATCTATCCCCTCTTTATTCCCATTTATATGGTAACCATATTCTGTGTACCCCAATCAGGACACATTTTAATACATGGTGAGATAGATAGTTGACAGTGTAACCAGATATTTAGAATTTGCATAAGTTTAGAAAATCTGAGGCAGATCAACTCATTGCCTGATTGACAGGTGAGAGGAGTACAGAACATAATTTTTACCCAATTCAATTGAATACTGTATTTTTTAAAAATTCCCATGAAAAGCTTAGTTTGGTTAAAATATCAGGGAAAAAACATTGCAATTTTGGCAAAATAACTGCCATGAACTCTGTAAGCAGACCTTCCATTTAGACATACTCAGTATCTTTAATCACAAAGCACTGAAAATCAAACCCCTAAAGATTTTTATTCCTTTATTTATTTATTTATCTTCTTGTCGTTAGCTTGTACTCATTAGGTTGTTTAATACTCAAGTATCATTCAAAGAGATGTCACAATTCAGGCCAGGGATTGGACAGTAAAAGGCTCAAAAAATTTAGTTGTTGAGAGTAACTGTCATTCAGTAACTCAAAATAAATATCACTACTTTGGGCAGAAATTGCCCCTTGGCAACTTGAAGTATCTTTTTTTCTCTCAAAGCCTCACAAATGGTAAAGTTGTGCTGAATGAGTGTCTTTAGTATCTACATTCAGGAAAAAAATGTGTTTCTCTGAAGAATAGTGAAAAGTCTTTAGAAAACTTGGCTAGGATGGATTTGAACAGATCTCTTTTCTTGCACTGCAAAAAGCCTTTAGTTTGTTATCGTATCTTCAAGTGGGATCAGTCTGTAGCAAGTTGAGTCCCACTGCCAGGATTACAAGTCTTCAGTTACAAAGCAGAAGACAGAAGAGAGCTCTACGTCTTGTCACAGAAATCATTGCCATTTGTTAAGGTACTCTAAGCATCAATTAATCCTCTCAGACAGAGGTGAGGAAGCGAAGGCTAGCTGGTTTAAGTTAGGAAGAATGGTATCTCCCTTTTGTGACATATTTATTGATAATATATTCACTTAGGTACATATATGATACATTAAACAATGAATGCACTGATACTTGCTCTCTACATCACTGAGCATAAAGCAACTTCTTAGTGAACTCTGATAGTTGAAGATTTCATTTGACACACAGGTAGACATTTTGTTACCTTAAAGAGATGATTTTATATGTGAAGGTTTCCTGTGATTTTACCTGTGCCTCCAACTTGGCCTCATTCCCTACCATTTCATCTTTTGAATTTTTTTTTTAAATTGACATTTACTTGTTCATTTTTGTGGGGTACAGTGTGTTGTTTCAATACATGCAGATACTGCAAAATGATTTACTTAGGTTAGATAGCATAGTTTTGTACCTGTTTATCCTTTGCATTGTAAATACTGATGAATGTAGTGACCCTCTGTTTCACTTTTTTATGCAGCTAACTCCTACTGATACTTCAAAATGAAGCTCAATGCCATTCTTCAGAAAGCCATACCTAACCAGCTGGTCTGGACGAGGGTGGCCTTCCATTCCACCCCATAGTTCTCCATGCATTCTTTCTATCAATGTGGGCCATGTTAATGCATCTGTCTCCCCTAATAGACTGTAATATACTTGAGAACAGGATCACAACTCTTTGAATCCCAAGTTCAGTCTATTGCTCATGTACTTTATGTGATTAGTACATCGGTGAATATCATAGCTTTCCTACCTTCTGGGACTTTCAGTTTATTGAGAAGACAGATATACAAATACATTTTTGATTCCAAGGCAATACAACAGCATAAAACAGAGTGGCATACTTTAGATTTGGGATCAGGTAAGTCTTTGGGAAAGAGAACTGAAATTTGAGACCTGAAGGATGATAAGACTTCCTTAGGCAAAGCTTGGAGGTAGGCGGAGCATTTCCAACAGAAGAAAGCACTGATTGAAGGCCTTGTGCATAAACCTGTATTATGCTTTTAAAAATGCTCACAGTACTTTACTGAAGAATAATTTACATGTAATAAGATGCATCAATCTTCAGAGTGAAGCTTGAAATTTTAACATGTATATACGCTCATATAACCCCCACCCAGATCAAAGTAGAGAACATTTTTATCTCCTTTCTAATTTTCCTTGTGTCCCTGTTCTAGACAGTTCCACCCCAGGAGGTACCCACTATCCTGGCTTCAATCCCTCAGTCTGATGCTTTTAAAAATCTGAAAGAAGTTCAGGGTAACAAATGTAAGGAGCAAGGTGAGAGAAGAGAGAGATGAGAATGTGGAGGTAGGCATGAGGCAGACCATGGAGAGTGCTGAGAACCTCATTCAGTTTTTGGACTTTTGGCCTAAGTGAAATGAGTCACTGCTGAAGATCTGAGCAAGAGGGATTAATGTATTCACAGCTGTAGTAATTGAAGGTTAAGAGCGAAAATAATGGAACTAGCTAGGAAGTTAATGCAATATTCTTAAATATTGCATTCCATCATTTAAAGAAAATGATGACATGGACCAAGGAATAGCCTATAGAAGAAGAAAAATCAACAGATTTAAGATGTATTTTGAAATTCATAGATACTTAAGAAACATTTGTTAAAATGAACTGCATTATTTTAGGAAAGAGAATCTTTTAAAAGTTATGGTTGCATTTAAACAATTAATGTCACTGAAGGCTGTAGAGATATTCCCCCAATTTTAAACAGTATTTATTATTTTCTATGTTGACAAAGTCTGAGAGTACACCAAAAGGTTCACAGAAGAATAGAATTAAAAGACAACATGAATCTTTCCATGAACGTTTTGAAGACCCCATGTACTTCATAATTAATTCATTTTATTTTTCCATCTTCAAAGGGAATAATGCTTGGGATTTTCTATAACATCTAGCCAAATATTTGTCTTTTGGCCATGAAAAAGATTTTTCATCTTTCTTTATAGGTACTGTAATGTGTTTAAAATTATTACCAAACATAAAAATTTCCATATTTTGTTCACATCCTTGAAATAGGACTCACTTTGCTAGCAAAAAACTAGTATAGTGAATAAATAGTCCCAAGAGATATGTTGTTGAACACTTGTACTCATAGATCAGGACTGAGTTTTTAAGCAAATTAATTCTATGCTAAAAATATTGAGTGGCATTTGCATATTACCTAGGTAAACATCCTGTCACTCACCAAAAATACATACATTTTTGTTTGGTTTTCCTTTTCTGAATCATCTAGGTCATTTTTCCAAATGATATAACCAGTTTTTGTTTGTCTCCACCTTTTGAAAACCTGATGCCAGATTCTTTACCTAATTGGTAAAACTGAGTGATAAAAAGTAAGGTATTAGTTTTCTAGGGCTGCTGTATCAAAGTACCACAGAAAAGGTGATTTAACAAAACAGAAACTTACTGATTTAAAACACAGAAATTTGTTATCTCACAATTCTGAAGGCTGGAAGTTCAAAATCAGGGCTCCCTCTGGGAGTCTGGGAAGATTTTTTCCTTTTCTTTTCCTAGCTTCTGGTGGTTTGCTGGCCATCTTGGCTGTGCCTTAGCTTGCAGAAGCCTCAGCCCCTGGTCTTCACATGATGTTCTCCCTGTGTCTCTGTCTCTTCACAGTGTATTCCTTTCGTAAGGGCACTAGTCATATTGGATTAGGGACCCATCCTACTTCAGTGTGACCCCACATTAATATTTTTTGTTATAAAAGAATTTATTTATTTTTAATTGAAACATATTGATTTTACATATTTATAAATTGCAGTTGTATTTCAATACATGTATCCAATGTGTGATAATCAAACTAGGATAATTAGCCTATTTATCATTGCAAAGCTTTATCATCTCTTGGTGCTGAGAACATTTATCTCCTCTCTTCTAGCCAGTTGGTAACATACAGTAGTTATTGGTTATAGATGCCTAGCACTTCTGTACACCAATAGAACTTATTTTTCCTATCTACCTGTAATTTTGTGTCCATTAACCAAACTCTCCCTATCCTCCTACCCTCCCTTGAATCTGCAACAATCCTATTTCCAAATTAAGTCTGAGGTACTAGAGGTTAGAACTTCAACATATCTTTTTTCTTTGGTGGGTGGGGGAGACACAATTCAACCCATAACAGTTACCAAAATTGATAAAAGTAAAATCTTCTAACAGTGGAGAATTACCTAGTCAAACTTTCCATTTTCTACACACATTTTCTTCATTATATGCAGAGAAATAACTAAATAGAATTATGAAAAGCTCTATTCTCCAGATGTAGGCTGGATCCCGTCACTGATAGCTCATGGAGTCAGACAGAACCTGGAGAACCGGGCAAACGGTGCTTTATATTTCCATGCCTAGTTCATTCCTTTTATTGAGGAACATGTAGTCATCGGCAAAATTTTCTTAGAGTAAGCTATGCATTTTTGTTCATAATATCTACACTTTTTCATTCTGTTTCTCTCTAGTCTCATTTGATATAGGCAAAATAAAATAGAATTCTGATGGACGGCTTTTGTTTCTACATCCTGCATAAGTTGGGGTATTAAATACCGAAGTGCTTAACAATTCTGTTTAGGGTGGATTTTAATTGCTTCTTCCTCATATTTGGGAAAATGCATCATTTGTAGTGAGTTTTACTGCTGTAGACGGATGATCTGAATTATTCAGAAACTCTGGTTTTGAATTTCCTCAGTAAAGTGATTTTTTTTCTACTCAGTTCTCTGGTTATTTGCCAATGCTCAACTGACACTTAATGCACACCCACTGACCACCAGGCACAAGAAAAAAGAGATGAACTATAATCTCTACAATCAGATATCTCTCCCTAAGTGACTAAATTAAGGACTATTTTTTGGCTACATTTCTTAATAACTTGCACGTTGGATTATGATATATTCAAATACAGAAATGAAGTAAACAGACTCAGATGAATAAATACTCCTTCATTAGGGGATGTTAAAGTTATGCATGTACTCTTTGATTTTGTGACTTATATTTGTTATTTATTTATTTTTATTCCAGCTGAAAGAGACATCAGTGTGTACTGTGGGGTGCAGGCCATTACAATGAAGATTAACTTTTGCACAGTACTTTTCTCCGGTTATTCTGAAACAGATCTGGCACTGAATGGAAGGCATGGGGATTCCCACTGCAGGGGGTTCATCAATAACAACACCTTTCCAGCAGTGGTCATTTTCATCATCAATCTCAGCACCTTGGAGGGCTGTGGAAACAACTTAGTGGTAAGATTAGTGTGAAATTGTGTGCTGGGTCTGCGGTTATAAATTAAAAAAAAAAAAATCTCATTTCATGAAACAATCAGAAGCCCAATCTTTCAAGAAAAAATTCCAAAAAAACTGAACAAATCACTCTCTTTTGCCTGTTTGAGGCTTGTACTTCCAATTTTACAATTTCATCTTCCAATAATGGTTCTGGTTATGGTAGCCGGGCAGTTGAGGGGCCTGAGGTCAGATCTAAGCAACATTCTTTTGTGTGAGTGAGATTGACGATTATTTCTTTATCACTAGCCATATTCCTCACACTTTTCTATGGAAGTCTTTGATCATACAAACAATGTTTATTTTAGTGAATTTGGCAGTGAATCACTTGGCTTGTTGCTTTAGTGAACTCATTCAGAAAGAAAGATAAAAGATAGAGATATGGGATCTTCTTTCATGTTTACCATTGAATGATCTACACCAGTGCTTTGTAAAAGACAGCTGTCAGTATTTCTGGTGTGAAATTCTTCCTTGTGTGGGACTATCCTTTCCTTTTAAAATGTTTATTGTACCCAACCTTACCCATGAAATCCCAGTAACACTCTCTCCAGTTATTATGAAAATGAAAACACCACTTGAAATATTTTTACTCTGAATAAGAACTGCTAATCTATACCATCCATTTATTCGTTAATTCATTGAACACCAAAAATGAATTTAATAAGGAATTGACTCTCCAGGGAATTAAAATTAATTGAAGTGAATATATAGTGATGGGGGGTATTAGTAACACTGAAATTCACTTAGTACTATTTTCCATTTTGCTTGTTTAAATACAATCTTATCAGTAAATGCTGACAAAGATAAAAAGGAGATACAAGACACATGACCACTTAGCTCAGTGAGGAAGGACAAATTGGCTTTTGTTCTTCACAAGTTGTGGTTTGGGATTAAGGAAGAAGGCTTGACTGTTCTGAGGACAGGGCCTCTAATACCTGTTGGGAGACAGAAAACAGAAAAAAAGGTTTCTCTGAATCTCCTTTATCTTTTCCCTGAGGGCAGTAAGAATACTGTGCCCATGACTGCTTCCAAACCTGCAGCTTGGGTATTGCAGACGCTTTTTATTAAAAACATTTATTCATTTCTCTTTGTTGTGTGTGGAGAGGTTTTGCAGTGGGCCTAAGGGAGAGTGCTGCGGATTGATTATGAAGCCTGTGTGTTTCCTGGTGGAGGGAGGAAGCCTGTGTGCATCAGAGCACTTCCACTACTCCTACCATGCTGAAGCCCTTCCTTCATGGTCTTTCTTCTCTGGATTTAAGTCACCTTGCCCTGCCACCTAGAAAACAACTCAGGAGAAAAGCCAGGAAAAGTGTCTGTGTGTGTGTGTGTGTGTGTGCTTTTTACTTTTTTTAAGAGCTGAATACCTCTGGTATAAAAATTGCTACATAAATGTATATGTGCATGTGTGTATGTGTGTGTGTGTGTGTGTGTGTGTTTCACAGATGGAATTAGTATGTTTAGCTACCAAGTCAGTCAAACAGTAGGAAGAGAGGAAGATTTGCTTATTTTTCACTTTTTGCCTTAGCTGTCACCAGCTTTGGAGTCCGCTCTAATGGCATTCGTACATGAGAAAAATTAAGTGGACTATGAAATCACTGGATTAGAATCCTAATGTTTTCATTTGTAGAGATTCTTGCCCCACTCATGAATTAGCTAGATAACCTTAGCTTTGCCCACATGCTGTTAGGTTCATGCATAAAGTCTATTCTACTGTTGAAATGAAGTATTACAGGTCTCAATAATATCTGCTAAAGATATTTATTGAGTACCATATTGTATTTGACATGGTAAGAGAAGTTGTGTTCTCTCAGATCTTATAGAGATTGAGAAAAGTATTGGTTATTCCTGATATGGTGGTTCTTCAGTTTTAATAGAATTGAAAAATCCAATGAAAGTAAAGCACTCCCAAGAAAATACACATGTAGACAATATTTTCACATCACTTCTGAGAGTTCATGACCCCCTGAAGCCCATCTGTGAACTATCACCCTAGAAGGAGATGAGAGTCTCCGTGAACTGCAGAGGAAGACCCAGAGAAAACCAATCCTCAGAGCATTTGTGACCATTATTCATTTGTTCACAGTTTTTTCTGGGCCTAAGATGCTGGTCACTGTGCTATGCTGAGGGTACAAAGGTGAACAAGACAGAAAGAAAGCGTCCCTGCCCACAACGAGCTCCAATGACGGCTGAGGGGACTGCCACGTGAGCAGCTGCTCATGCGCTGTTCCCTCTGCTATCATTGAGACAAGCATTGCATGTGGGGGAGTCAGGGGAAGTGTACCAGGGAAGAGGAGATCCTAGGAAGGATTAGGATATAACATGCTTAAGGGAGATGGGGGGAGAGAGAGTTGGCTGAGTAAGTATGCACAGGGGCCACAGCAACAGGGCCTTGGGGCAGGAGCATTATTGCTAAGAGTGGGAGCCTGGAGATATGTACAAGCTTAGTGGAAAACCAGGTCAAACTAACAAGGGTCTTTTCATTCATGCCAGAGAATTTGGACTTTATCCATAAGTGTTTTCAAATTACTTGTTGTAGCCCTCTATTTTCATAATCTCACTCCTTTCTTATTTACGAAGTATGAGTAAAATGTCTTTGGTACATATGAACTTTTTTTTTGGTTAAATGACATATAATCACTTGTAAATTGCCTTTTGTGTGTGTGATTTCAAAACCATCGTATATTACAGTAGAACCAGACTCTAGAAATGGTCTGGTCTAAAGTTTTATTTTACATATAAAGTGCCTAGATCTATATACGAGTAGCCACTTAATCATTGAACTTGATCTACCATTCTAACAGGTATCCACAGTTCCTGGAGTCAGTGCTTATGGAAATGCAACTTCAGTACAAATAGGAAATATTTCAGGATATATTGATACTCCAGACCCACCAACAATCATCAGCTATCTACCTGGGCTTCTTTATAAATTTAGTTGTAGTTATCCATTGGAATACTTGGTTAATAATACCCAGCTTGCTTCGTAAGTTTGCATTTTATTCTTGCTTTCTCATATTGTTTTTATGTTTGAGGCATTTCTTATCCATGAGGGACTTACAAAGATAGCAGGATTTGTTGAGAACAGCCAAACTCAAATGAGGTAATATGGACCATATTAAGTCTAATATATATCTACATCTATCTCTCTATCATCTATCTATATCTAATTTTTATGACTGATATCAACAGCTTGGAATATATATGAGTGTGTGTATGCATATATGTATATACATACATATATATATATATATATATTTGAGAATACTTCAAAAAGTTTGTGAAAAGATTTGTATTATCTTTTAATTCTATTTTTCCACAAACTTTTTGAAGTGCCCTTGTATTGAGATATATATAAACATACACACACACACACACACACACACATAAATTTCAGATTAAAACCAGTTCAGACCAGTCCTGTGTCAGCCTTGGGTTCTCATTTTTTTTGCCCAGGAACCCTGCATGCTTTAGCAGTCCTGAAGGCCCTGCAGTGTTTATAGTGTATAGGGCAATTAGTCGCTATATTGCTTGGTTCTGCCTGGCTTCCCTCCCTCTGCCATTTGATCTCACTGCTGAACTCTGCTGCTCCAGATTCTGGGGTCTCCATTACTCCAGCCCAGATGCCAGTGATATCCCAGGAAAAGTGGTATGGAATGAGGTTATGTCTTCATTTATTATTCCCAAAGCACATACTCCAAGACATGGTTATATCCACATTACAATGTAATCACCTGAACTTGTCAGATATTTTTGACAAGATGGGGTGATTGAGTGAAAACTTTTTCTCTCCAGTTTTAGGGTTTGCTATTATAAAGTCATAGTTATTGTTTAATCTTAGTTATAAGGGAACATGGAGGCCACATTCTGTTTCAGTTAAAAAATGTTCATAGCTGGTTTGAATAGCACAGTGATGATAAACACCTTGGTCAAAAGCCAAGACTTCAATGTGGAAAATGAGAAAAGAAAGGCCTTGAGTCAAGATATAGGTGTAGAGAGAAGCATCTCTCATTCTGTCTCCCTGCCTCCCCCATAAACACTTGCCTGATCTTTAATGTTGGAAATTAATTTATTTGTTATTTATTACATACCTACTATTTACCATGCAATGTTCTAGCAGTGAACAAAGTAAAAAATCCCTGAGTTCATGAAATTTCTATTCTAATGGAATTGATGAAATCATATTTGCAGCAGATTCAAGTTCTTATAAAATAAATTTTTTCTGCAAAATGCCTCATATATGTAAGGCAAAATGAAAAAAAAAAGACTTTCTAAATAAAAAGATGATAAGTAACAGTCTGCCTTTACTTGTCTCCTCTTGCTTTTTGATTATTTTTTGTTCAGTGATTTAACTGGGCCCACTCCAGGCCCAGTTAAACGTATGACAGGGTTACTCAAGAGTTCTATTGCCTTAAATCGAACATTCCGGTATAAACGAAACTTTAATTTAAAATTTCATCAGTGCTTTCCTTTCCCTAAATCTGTTTTAGGTCCTCAGCTGCTATTTCTGTGAGAGAGAACAATGGCACATTTGTCAGCACTTTGAACTTGCTACTTTATAACGTAAGTTGATGGGTGAAGGATATTTTCCCTTTCACTGTTGTGAAACGCCATTTATGGGAACGGCTTTTATATCAAAGTCTACTGAAAGCCACATTAACCCTGTTACACTTTGGTAACATTTACCCATCTTTACTACCATTTTCATATTATCAGTGATAAAGGTACACTAAGAACTCCATGAAATTTTCTCAAAGTTGATAAACGATTTAAATTTCATATTGTAAATGTGATTCTGTGATAGTTATTACAAGTTCTATCTATATTTAAATGCATATATTTATTTATGTGTGGGTGTACAGCCATCGTCAAGGTCAAGATGTGGGGAATAATATTTTTGTGATAAATAGATATGAAAAGTCCAAATGATTCTTCTCTTGGAGGCATCCTTGGTGATGAATGTGTTAATATTTTCAATATGGGTTTTGGCTGATGACAGTTCTGTCACATTTGTAATAATTTGGATTGGACTAAAAAGCATTGTCTAAACTTTTGTCATGTAAATATCAAAAGTGGCAGCAAAAAAAATACATGGATTTCTATTTATAAGAGTAACATTAATCCCCCAAATGATATTTTCATGTTGATTAAAAATTTTTATTCATACATTTTAAATGCCTGATTTAAATATCAATTTTTCAATCTATCAACCAACATTTTTGTAAATTATGAATCTGATTTTTGCATTATTATTCATGTCATCATGGCACCGAGTTATAATTCATGCAACTGATTTAAAAGTCAGTGCTTTATACTTTGAATATAATGAGCTATAAATATTGTAGTAGGACATTTTCCAAAGGCATTTAAAAAAATTATGTTTATAAGTTTATAGTCTGACACCACAGAGTTCTAAACAACAAATTAAAACGTGTTGGAATGAAGATTGCCTTTCTGTCATTTCTAAACTTTCTTCTGCAAAAACAAGCTGCCAACTTACTTGGTTCTACAATTCTCAGCAAATACATTCCAATATTCATTCCCAATATGTCCAGATATTTATTATTTCTGTGAGCAATATTTATATAAATAACTTTAAATTGGAAAGTTTCTATCTGATGATTTATATGTGTAAGCTCTCTGAAGTAGAATTGAGGTGACTAGTTTGGATTCAATATTATTTATTATAATTGAATGAGACAAAGAATAGAATTCCCAGTGGTAAAAAACCGAAAAAATATATCCACATGGAATTTAATGATACCATTATTTTCTGTGAAATTAAACTATTCTCTCCCTTGAGAAGCAGAAAATCAAAATTTAGAAGTGCAGGTTTGAAGAGAGCTTTGTTATTTAGGTCTTTCCTGTACCACTAGAAATGGTATACACTGTAGCCCTGCTGTTAACATGACATAATCCTTCACAGGGTTTCTGGAATCTTAATGCTAAATAAAGCATATCATTTGATGATAACATTAATATTTTATGGTGAAAAAAGGTACTATTTTTTGATATCAGACTATAAATGAAATCAGTGATACCAAAATACTTCTATTTTTTAATCAGTTTGCAAAAAAGTATTATTGGTGGTTGAATTAAAAAAATTAAAGTGAATTTAAAAAGTTATTTACTAACCAGTTTTTTGGTAAAACTCAACCATTTCCCCACAAACTAGTTTTAATTTTTAAAAAATTAACCATACTTTATATTTTTAGAGCAGTTTTAGTTTTACAGAAAAATTGATCTGGAAGTAGAGTTTCCACACTAACTCACTCCCCTGCACACAATTTCCTCTATTACTTAAATCTTGTATTAGAGTAACATTTGTTATAACCGATGAACCAATATTAACACATTATTAACCCAAACAGATAATTTACATTTAGGTTCACTTTTCCTGTTGTACATTTTATGGGTTTTGACAAATATATAATGACATGCTCCCATCATTGCTGCATACAATAAAGAAGAGTTTCATACATACATCATTCTGTATACATACTGAAGAGTTTCACTGCCCCAAACAAAGTTTTTAACACGGTGCCATTATAGTATTTTGCCATGTTACAGGACATTAAAAAATAGTAATCGACATTAGAAGAAAAATTTGGTATACTTTTACTAATTGATACAAAAATCATATCTTTCACTTGTTTGGAACACTATCATGTAACTAGCCAAATGTTATCTTCTTGTATCATTTCAAATAAAATATCGTTTTATAATCTTTAGGGGCCATTACTTCCTATTTCACAGGCAAAGTTCCTGATTTCTAACCCTTAGGAATGATGAAAAGTTGTATTATATACCTACTACTCTTATTCTCTGGCTTGTTACTTGGTGAGAAAAAGTTATACCTAATTTGGATGTAGCACGATTGTTTATTTCTGTGTTTTCTGGGATTCAGTAAGTGTACTCAGGAAAATTATATTTATAAAAAACAATGACTTTTAATGACTGTGATTTCCACATATGCAGGTTATTTCAAGTTGAACTGTGGCCTTATTTTGGTCTAATATAAATATATCAGTTTTTTCCTCTGTGGAAATGGGAAGTGAGGATGGATGCCTTTGTGTATTTGAACCGTACCTAAATGTTAGTGTCTTCTGAGTGGATACAGAAACAGCAACTCTAAAATAGGGTTATGATAATTATGAATTTTTTTAAACATTGAAAGAAACCTAAAATAGATATTATTCATTTTAGGAACAACATAGTATTAACAAGAGTAAAGGCAATTATGCAAAATAAAGTCAGGAAATTACTTCTTAGAAGAAGTTTTGGGAGAAAAAAATTGATGGTTTATGATTGGTCTACACCTGAGTCATACATCATTCGCAAATGACTCAGCAGTGTTATACTTGTACAAAATAGCCATCTTCAGGACAGTATTGCTGCAAATATAATATGAAACATCTGTATAGTTAATGAAGTGTGGATTACTTAGAGAAGTTAGAAAAGAGAGCCAGAAAATAATTAAATAAAAATATAACCTATCAGGCATGGTTAGAGGAACCATTTTCATTTATCATAGAAATACAGAAAATAGATTGAAGAGTACAGTTTCCAAGTATAGCATATAATCCCTCACTTATCTGGCTTTATTTGGGAATGAAAATTTCCATATGAATGCATTTTTCTTGAACTATTATTGTTTTAATTTTAAAAATTCAAAATATATTGCTTCCTTCCCTGCTTTCTGACATGCTCCATATTTTGCCTTTCCTTGAAGACTTTGATTTCATAATGAACATTAAAAACTTTTCTTAGCTGCCAAAGAGCAATATCTTTACAGTCCCTAAATGTGGGGATACAATTGGCCTCTAGTTAAATAATATGACTGCTTAAATTTTGGAGGTTGTCTTTTTTTTTTGCTTTCTACAATTTTTTCTGTTTTTCTTCATTATCAAATCATAGCTTTCATTTCTTAATTTCTAATCTGCTGCTTTAATATATCGTAGATTGCAGAGTGATATAAATAAACTCTCTAGAATTGGTCTCAAATAAGGGTAAAGACATTAAAATGAAGTCCTGAGACACCCTTTTATAAGTAACCACCAAAGAATTTGATTCAGGAACTCTATGGCATGTATTCTGGCAATGCTGAAAATGTGTTGGTCTCTTTTTGGTTTTCGATTAAATTTTGGTAATTTCAAATTGCCGGATAAGTGATTTGATAAAAGATTATCAAAAGTATAAAATCTACAACTCTAAGGGCTTAAATTGAAGCAGGTATAACTTAAATAAACTTAATATCAGCCATTAAAATAATTTAAATAAATGGAATATTAATTTTGGAAAACTAAATATTGACCACTGAATATTAAGCAAACTGACCTCTGAATATAATTTAAATATACTGAGCACTAATCACCATATATTGTTAAACTATGGAAACAAAAGATTTATGCATGAAAGTCAATTTGTTACACAGATGTGGTTTAAGAACAGTTCTGCCAAGAAACCAGAGGATTAAATAAATCCTTTTGGAGTTGGTTCTGTAGGTCTATGTTGATTTACCTCTTTTTTTTCTATAACATTGTTGTTTTAGGTGGTAAATGTGCTGTTGTTGGGGAGGTAATGATAGATTGTTTATTGTTTCATCATTAGGATTCAACCTACAGTCAGCAGTTAATTATCCCAAGTATAGGATTACCTTTGAAAACCAAAGTATTTGCAGCTGTACAAGCCACTAATCTGGATGGCAGGTATTTTCAAACTCTTATCTTTTGTTGGTTACAACACTTTGGCTACTTAAAGCCTCATGAGTCATAAAGTTAGCTCATTCATTTTTAAAATTTAATTTGAGAAATACTGTCATTGCCACACTGTTTAGGCATGCTAATAAAAAGAAAAACAAATTGCAAAGTTTAAGGGGTGACACTCATTTTATGCTATTAATTGGAAAATAACAAGTCTTCACATAAAGGAGGAGAGGAGTAGTGACTGGAAGAGGGCATCTTCTGGGATGCTGGAATGTTCTATCTTCATCTGAAAGATGGTTAACCAGATGTGGTCATTTTGTGAACACTTTTGTGTAATTTTCTGTATGTAATATTACTTTTCATACAAATTTATTAAAAAACCAAAGAATTCTCCCCATAAGGGTCTGGACCAAAATTATATGAAATGATCTCCAGAAACATGTCTGCAATTGAGTTTCATATGATACTTAAAAAATTCAGAATCATCAAAATGGAAAGAGGTCTCAAAAGCTGAAGATCTAATCCTGCCCTATTAAAAATGTAATGTGTAAATGATTAATTGGGGTTTCTTGGATATTATTGCCAAATTTTGCATCCCAAAGAGACTGGTGTACTCTAGAAATTTGGTTCTTCCTTACTGTCTCCCTTTTTGTCTTCTTCATATTTCTGCTTTTGGATATATGTGACTTTTAAAATTGTCTTAGTAAATGCAATTTTTTTTACATCTTATTGGCATTCACTTTCCATGTATTAGCATTTTTTATAACACTCAGAGTTGGAATGAAATACTGTATAAATCTGGGCACAATCTGGCCTGTGGAGAAGGCTCTGTATTACCTTCATGGCTTTATTTATTTTTTTTTACCTGTCACAATCTCTATCTTGAACTCCCACTCCCACGCCCACTGATTCTTCCATTTAATTTATACACCAAACTCCTTTGTTGTATTTGGTACTATAAAATTCTCTGTCCTCTGTTAGAGACAGTAACTTCTGGAAACAAAAGGCCATTGTTTAGAGTGAACATATAAGCATCTGTCTATGTATGTAGCTCACTTTTGGGTTTTGTTTCTTCAGAGTTTGACCATTTAGTTTGGTTTGTTCACAAGGTTTGTTCATTTTTGTGGCTTAGCCTTAACTCCACTTGATGTGTCACAGATTTTTAAACACCTTGAATTTAGGAGAAAGTTTTAATAAATAAGTAGCCTCTGGAAATAACAAGTAATCAAAAACTATATTCCATGCAATAAGAGGTTTGTCAATATTTCCTTTCCTTAGATTAGCAACTAACAGTTAAAAGGAGATCCTGACACTAGATTATGTTTACCTCTTTTGTAGATGGAATGTCTTAATGGATTATTGTTACACAACCCCATCTGGGAACCCAAATGATGATATTCGATATGATCTCTTCCTTAGGTAGGTGTTTAAGTCTTGTATTGACAACAAATACCCAGTTGCAGATAAGTGGCATGAAAAATCTAAGTCAGACAAACAAATTATAGGGCACTGTTATAGCTTTTGAATTTCAAGTTTTACATTTTGAACTTTTAGTTTTTGTAAAGTTGGAAGGATAGAAGTTGAGAACAGTTTTCATCATAAAATGCTGATAAGGCCATTGTTAAATGAGGATTGTAGGTAAGTTAGCTCCATCAGAGATGTTTTATTCATGTTCAGGAGATATGGGAATATTTCACTGTCTTAGGAAAAGTATGGTTAGGATATTACTTGCAATAGAGAAAGGCAATGGGAATGTACTTATTTATCTGCAGCTAGACTGTCTCCTAGTATGACAAAAGGAGAATAAAATTAAAGTAATGGTCTGGATAATTTAGATTCCTCAATACTTTTGTTCATTTATCAGTATTTAATATGAAAGTATAATATAGCCTACCACTCCTTTTTTATCAGAGCCAATACCTTCAACTTCATTCCCCAACAGACAGTGATAGAGTGAATGTAATCTACATTTGGGGAAAGGGGACATTGATCATAAAACTATTCAATCAGCCCAATTCTCTTTCAGCATTTTTATCTGACAGCAGAACAGACTTGAGAGTCAAGCAATGTCTTCTAATCATGCTTATAAAATGCAGTTGGCTCAGATCACTGCAGCTTATTGACACATGATGGGAGTAATATAATGGGAAACCAAAAGAATACATTTTATTGTCTAATCAAGGTTAAGATGATGTTCACAGGGTATGGTCACACTGACAATATTATATATCCTATTTCTGGAAGTGTTAATTGGGGCAACATTTTTTGGGGGAAAATGTCAGATGTATCAAAAGCCTTAAAAGATTTTATATCCTTTGATTCTATTTTTAAAAATTGGAAAATATATTTTTAAATATTTATGATGTTCTAGTCTATCATGGGAACAAACTGTAAGTTCAGCAATAAGGAAATGGCTAGGTGAATTATAGAGACCAGTAAGTTGAGAGTTCACACAGACACTTCAATCATACAAAGTTATTAGTTAAATTGAAAAATTGCTTGGTTCTATTTTACCTTCTCCCATCCTGTCTCCTTGGTATTTCTATCCTTGACAATATGTGATTCTTTAAAATTTAAATGTTTTAAAATTCGAAGGGAAAAAATCAGCACACACAATTTTATATGCAGGTATAATGGACCTCATTGGTATGGTAGAAAAGACTAAGAAAAAGCACCAAAAGATTCACAGTGGTTCTTTATGCATAATAGGATTATGGATTATTTTGTTTTGACATTTCTCTTATTTTCCAAAATTTCTATAATGATTACATAATGATAATCTGGCATATGATCATCAGATATCTGTATGAATATGATGGCAGGTTAGTTCTGAATTTTTTCAGTTTTATTCTTGGAAACTATAGAGAGTGAAATGGATAACTAAAAAAAAATTTCTAAATGCCATTTTAGAATCTAAGAGGAAAAGAAAACCTAGAAATTCCACAATATGTCTTAGTGTTGATAAAAGCAGTTAGAACCAGGAGAAAGTGACGCAGGGATAGGTTGGCAGGAAGCTGTGTGGAGAGAGGTGGGAGAAGCAGGGAAGAAAAGTGGATGCTGAGGGATCCTAGAGGTGGCAGATCCCAGAAGCAGCCAGGAGAAATGCACACCTGGAAGGAGATGGCCCCACCCTGAGTGACAGTTGCTAGGAACAGGCTGAGATCAAATAGCTACCAGGGCTGGGGAATATACAGAATGGAGAAGGAAGGAGTAGAGAGTGCCCAGAGCCTCAGAAGTGGCAGATCCCTTAAAGTTCCAGCAAAAGCACACCTTCTAAAGGGGAAGGAATCACCTGGGAAGGCAGGGGAGCTACTCTTGGTGGCATAGGCTGGTGAATGAACCTGGGAAGTACAGGGCTCATGGTAGAGCCCTAGTGAGTGTCTTGAAGTTGAGAGAGGCAGAGAAAACTCAGCTACACAGTGGCACCATATTCAAAGAAACTGTCAACTATGGTCATTGTAAAATGGAGAAGGGGGCCCATGAGTTGGGGAAACCCTTGAGGAAAGTCATTATCATTCCACATTGCCTTAGGAGTTCCCTGAAAATAACAGGTCTAGGGAAATCCAACACTTTCAAATATGAATGGTAAACAACTGCAGGCATTTCTTGCAGTGTTCCAATCTACTACAAGAAAAAATGTTTAAAGATGAATTAAACTGCAGAAAAATGTTGCCATGGAACAGATAACATTTGTTGTTCAAGATTCCAACATGAAATTAAAAGAGTTAAAAAGTCATCGTAGTTAGGAATATAGACATATAAGAACTCAAATAAGTAAGGATAGGACAGTGCAAGGTAAGGTTATGAAAATGTGAAAAAGGAACTGAAAGAACTTAAGATGGAAATAAAAAAAATAAATGTATTACACAAAGAAAGACATAATTAGGAGGCATTCAAGGGAGAATAGACATAACAGAAAGCACAGTATGGGACACGGATAATTAAAAATAAGAAATGCAAATATAAAACAATATAAAAGAAAAGATAAAAAGGATTAGAGTAGGAAAGAAAGAAATAAAAGGTATGTAAAGGAAATTTGATATATGTATAATATGCATAATTAGAACCTTTCCCGAAAAAGCCAAAATAATAGAAAAAATATTTTAAAATATAATTCAGGAACACTTTCCTAAATTAAAAGAAAACTTTAATCTCCATAGTGAAAAGATGCCTTGGATTAAATTTCATTATGTGGAAACTAGGAAAAATATAAAAAGAAATAATGATCATAAATACAATAAAAATTGGAGCATTCGTTTCTCAGGAGACTTAAGTAAGGATATAGAAGATCTAAGTGACATAATCAGTCAGCTATACATTTTGAGGTAGCAATGTATAACAACATCAGAAAACAAAGTTCTCACCACCTGGAATTTTAAAAAATCATAAATAACACTTGTATCACAAGTGGAAATATAAACCAACATTTTGCAGTAAATTAAGAAAAGGTAGTTTCTTTTTATTTATTTATTTTGGTTTCACATTCTTTTTAAAAATTTCTTAAAGGTAGTTTCTTTGAAAAAATAAATCATAGAATCATAGGCTAATCTAATCAAGAAAAAAGGGATAAATGACAAATACAAAATAAAAAAAAAAAAGTGAGGAATCAACACAGAAATGAGGAAAGTATGGTCCTACCAGATTTCATAGTAATAAAAGCTCTAAAATTATTGAAGAAATGTGATATTATGTGAAATTATACACAAAGATAAAAGTTATAGAAGTAAATTGAGAAATTGATCCCAAAGCATTGGATTTTAGTATATGATAGAACGTGGTCACACAAACCAGTGGGATAAACAGGTCCTTTTTTTTTTTTTTTTCTTTTCTTTTTCTTTTTTTCGTGTCCGGCAACGGATCGCAACCCTCAGTGTCGCGCCCGCACTGGACCGGGACCGGCAACAGGATCGCAACCCTTGGTGCTGCACCCGCACCTCGCTCAGCCAGTGAGCGGGAACCGGTCTGCATGTGGGATCCGAACCCTCGGCGGGAGCGCCACCGCGCTCCCAAGCGGCGCACCGTAGCAGTGCACCACCGGGCCGGCCCTAAACAGGGACTTTTTAAACAGTGCCGGACAAAGAATAACTGTAAGAGAATAAAATAGTATTGGATCTATACTTCATTCAATGCACCACAATAAACTTTAGATAATTAATTTAAATGTAAAATCTCAGCTTTAAAAGTGGTAGAATAAAACACATGAAATATCTTTAAAATTCTGTCTTCAGCCCAAATACTGGAAGCCATAAAATAAAATATTGAAAATTTAACTACATAAAAATAAAACTTCTGCCCCCCCCCACACACACACATGCACACGTACACAGAGGAATATCCAAAGCCAAACAACAAACTAAAGCTATTTGCAACTTAAAAAAACATGCCAGGAGCCACTGTTCCTTATACATAAAGAACTTGTAAGAATCAGAAAGAAAAAAGCCAACACCACAATAGAATTTGGGCAAAGGACATAAACAATTTTCAGATAAAGAAACATAAATGCTCTAATGTGCATTTCATTCATACTAAGAAAAATGTAAATTTAAATTATATGGTGACAGTTTCTTATCAAACAGGGAACAATCCAAAATTTTATCCATGTACTTTGTTGGTGTAGCTCTGGGGAAATAAGGGTTGTTTTCATATATTGCTGGTGAAGTCCCAAATGGAACAATATTTATAGAAGACAATGTGGCAATTCTAGTGAATGATCCTAGAGATATATTTTATAGATAACCTTGTACATATTCAAAATTATGCATTATGAGGCTATTTATCATTGCTTTGTTTTTAAGGAAAAAAAGATTCAAAAACAATGCAATTCTTCATAAATACATATAACTGACTTAAATAAACACACATGTGCACTATGGAATACTATACAATTGTGGAGAAAGAATAAGGACATTCTCTAATTATTGGTATGGAAAGATCTCTAAGATCTCTAATTCTACTAAATTTTAAAAAGGCATGATACAAAACAGTGTAAACAGTATGCTATCATTTGTTTAAGGAGTAGGGAACAATAGGTATATATTGTTTCTGTTTCTATTTTTATGTACCCTGGGAGGATGCAAAAATAAGTGACATCACCCTGGCAGGTTTGGATATGGAATGGTGTGGGCAAGAGTAAAGATGGGAGGGAGAGTTTTCACTGTATACAGTTTACATTATCTGGATTTTTGAACCATATGAAAGTTTAATGCCCTAAAATTTGATGGTAATATTATAATCAGAAACTGATCTGTTTAAATTTTATGATCCAGGTTACTCTTGTTATATCTGTTGAATTAGCTTATGCTCTTATTAAGTATCTGTAACATGGCATGGTTCTGTTAGCTCTTAATGTGACGGAGTACCCTTAATACTGTGGAAATTAATTTACAAGTCCCAGTGAGTTGGTACTTTTCAGTGATGTCCTATTTTCACATTCACTAACATATAGCTGTGACAAAGATCCTCAGACCACCGTCATTGAAAATGGCAGAAGCCAGCAGGGCCGGTTTTCATTTGAAGTGTTCAGATTTGTGAAACACAAGAATCAGAAAATGTCCACTGTCTTCCTGCACTGTGTTACCAAGCTCTGCAGAGCGGATGACTGCCCCTTCCTTATGCCGGTATGTTTTTAAGCAACTTTATTCTAAGTTGTTGAATTGATCTAAGCTGAAAGGTTATCAAATGTCAGGAACTAATGTCTGTATAGAAAGTGGATATGCATTAGATCAAATAGTTTGAAATAGGATTTATTTATTCATCCAGTAGAGATCTGTTGAATGCCTACTGTCAGCTGTACTAGTCCATTTCTGTTGCTTATAACAAAACTCCTCCTTTTAAAACTCTCTGACCATGCCCACGACCATTAAGCTGTCAACTTATTCATACATTTGTTAAGGCATGCTCCTCACAATCTAATCACCTCTTCAAGGCCCCACCTTTCAATTTCCATAATAGGACCTCTCACCCTTTTAACACTGTCACAGTGGTGACCAATCCTCCAACACATTAAAGTTTGGGAGGACACAATTCAATCCATAATATGTGCCAAGCATTGTACTGGGGATACAGAAATGAAGTGTACATGGATTTTGAATTCAACTGGCTTATCCTTTAGGATCATGAAATAGTCATGGAAGAAAGCAAGACAAAAATCTTATGGTGCAAAGGCAGACAAATATATGGGCTTTAGGAAGAGGCAGTATTCACTGTTGTGAGAGAGACGGAGCTGGAGAGGGTGAGAGGATTGGTGGAGCAGAAGAACCCCAGCTATGACTTTGAAGATGGATGAATCTCAAAGGGTAAAATCAAGAGTGTGAGAGACACTCCATACCAAAGTATGGTTAAAGTCACAGGGACATAAAACAGGGTGATCAGGGAGCATATAGTCATTTAGGAATGCTCTGCAGCAGAGTAGAGGATGATGGGGGAACCTGGAGAGGGGGCTGGGCTGTTACTAGAAAGGTAAATTGGGCCCAGATGGCCAGGGAATCCCTTGGATTAAAAGTTAAAATCTATGAAATGTGTAAATCTGAATCACATGCAGCCACCATTAAAATACAGATCCATTTAGTAGTGAATAAAAGAAAATTCTATTCTGACAGGCCCCCTAGGGTCACATCAATAACCTGAGAAAAATGCAGGCAAGATTTTTTATTTGAAGTAGCTTTAATATGTTTATATTTATGCTCAATTCATGCATAAACAGCAAGCTATTTTTTCACTAGCATTGATCTCTTTGGTCCTAACTAGGTATCTCAGATGGGGTAAATGGAGAGACCACGTGACCCTGGGTCTCTGCTGACCGACATTTCAGGGAAGGATTTATTACAGGCTTGAGAGAAATAAAAGTAGAAAAGTTTGATAAACACAGCTCTTTTTCAGAAGAGCCATTGAGCTATGTAAATTAGTGAGGCAGTGCACAATTACAGCAAGGAAATAAGAAATGTGGCCCAAGCAGGGGAAGAAACACTGTAGCAGTTATATGCAAAGTAATTAAATAAATGCACAGAAGGAAATGAATAAAATTAAACATGTGGTATCTCTTCCAAAAGAATCTGCTTTCCAAATGGCCATAAAGAAACAATTTTGTGCCAGTGTGGAATTTCATTTGTTTTCATTAACACCTCAGATTTGCAGCCACAGAGAAAGGAGAGATGCAGGGAGGAGGACAACTTGGAGCCCCCAGAGCACTTCTGGAAACGCCATCCTCTCTGCTGGTCCCATCATCACTCGGAGTGGTAGGAGCGCTTCTCCTTTTGTATATAGTAATAGATGGTTCCAAAATGAGTTGTCACTTAGCTTCTAAAGAGAATGCAAAGTGGTTCCTGCACATCACCAATTAACTGTCAGACAAGATGAACCACTGAGCAACTTTAATTTCACAGTAGTTTCCTGTTTACTCATCTTTCACACCAAGGACAATATTGTCCTTAGCACATTTCCCTTTTCACACACACGTATACCATGCTGGACGTGTTTCATTACCCCTCTGGATCCTCTGCACCCTGCCCTGCCCTGTTCTCTGTCCGTGATGACTGACCTATGTGGACGGCGTCCTTTGGCTCCCTGGCCATCTAGTTTCTGGTTGGGCTTGACCAATAGGCGGCACTGTCAGTGGATGGGAGAGCAACACTGCTCCTGCCAGACAACTCTCTCCATAAAACTACTCTTTCTGGGTTCTGGAAACCCTTGCCTTACCCCCAAACCTCGGCAACTTACCCCATAACCTAGGCAACTTGACTTCATCTTGTGAATTCTGTATATGTTTGTACATAGTATTATTAAACGCTCCGTAAATTGCCTGGTCTGAGTACCATTTGCTTCCTTGCAGGATCCTGTGTGTTACATACCCGCATGCAGTGTACTTGTTCATGCTTATGAATTTATATGATCTAGCAGACACAGCTGTTTACGCACATATATCCTCACGTATACAAATATTTGTGCATATGCATACATCCATACACACTCTGCAAAGGAATATAGATTTAAGTAAGAGTGAACCCGGAGACAACCAGAGTCGGCTGGGTAGGCAAAATAAAAAATGTTTGTATTTCTGTGGAACATATCTAGAGTCAGTTTGTTATAACAAAAGAACCTTGAAAGTGACATTTCTTCTGTCCATCTTGGGTAGATGGCTTTTCCTCCTTAAAAAAACCAGTTATCCAGGTTTGTAGGCTTCACCTATCTCATGTCCAGTCACCCAAAATATCTATGCCCAAATGTCAAAGAGCTAACTCAGTGCCTCTGATGTCATGCCTGTCATTTCTTCCTTTCCAATTTCTGATCTGATCTGTTCCTACCTCAAAGATATCACTTATTCCTCTACACAATAATGTTTCTGAGTCACCTCAGGTCTCTCCAGTGCAAAACCTTTAAAGGATCAAGTTTGAACCTTCTGGATCCCCTTGAGTCCTCGCTCACTGTGTCTTGATTTATTTTTTTATACTTCTGGTAAATAAAATTAGGATGATCTTCACTTTTTGATGATCATTGTGGTCTCACTTCTTAGAGAACCATATAACAATGTTTACATTATAATACTATAATATCCAGGCAAAACTAATTTTAAAAAAATCCCTTATGAACACAGAATTCAGAACTCAAGCCATAAGCATCCACAGGCAAATCCTACGTAAAATTCATGTTTGGCTTAATGACCAGGGCTACACTCTTTTCATAGTTTCACTTTATTTTTATCTTAGTTCAGTTATAGCTTATCTCTCCAGGTCCTGTGGCTGATTTTTTTATAGACAAGTATAAGTTCAGGCTTGATTTGCTCTCTTCAAGGCCCTCTGATACTTGGAAGTTTTGCTTTATTTACTCATTGAATCGTTCCTTTCCCAGAGACATCTGGCTTAGGTCAAGTTTAATAAGTTGTTATACCTCAGAACTCCTAATTCGTTTTGTTTTTTAATGAAATAAAATCCATTCTGGTTATTTTTACCCAATAGTGTTAATCTTTTTGTCAGCTGATTTAGGAAAATATTCACATCCACTAAATGCAAAATCCTCAAAATTCCTGAAATGTTCTTATTTAAAGCTCCCAAATGCTAAAATGGCTTAGATGTGTAAATGCATATCATGAAGTACAATTCCTGAAATTTAAAGGTACACACACTGGAAAATGATAATACCTATTTGTTTACATAAATTTGTATGAAGAAGCCCAAGCACAACTCTTGTTCAACTAGTGTCACTGAGTTTTATGTATAGTTAGTAATTCATTTGAGAATATTTATTTTACCCCCAAATGGGACTGGCACTCTGTTAGCAACTGGTAATACAATAGAGAACAGGCCACAGACTTTGCCTTCAGGGATCTTAGAGTTCAGAGGCAGATTTAGACTATTAATGAATAAACCAGAAACAGCAACCAGTTAAAGCAGCTCTCTCTACCTTTATCCATTATCAAATACAATTCCAAACAATATTCGAATATTATATGCTTTGATTTCAGCCATCTGCCAAAAAGGTAGAATGCTTTTATTTTTTCAGTTCTGGAACTTGGAGCCAGTATGGCTCATTTGGCAATGGTGGTGTTTTGTCTCCTACACAGGGAGATTTTTGTCCACAGCCAAATGCTCGTGGGTAACACCTGGAATATTGTTTCTACAGAAGTGTTGGTGGTAATGTGGGGAGTGGAGGGGATATTCTGATTTCTTTTAACCTTAGGATGTAGAAAGTAGTGGGACCCATCCAGTTACAGCACTTTTGCTTTGTTTGGGACACTTAGTAGGAAGGAGTTTTCTATTCTTTAATAAAAACATTTTTTAAAGCAATTAAGTGAGATTTCAAAAAAAATTTTTTTAAAGGAATTTTAGAGCATTGTGTATTCTCCTGCCTTATTCCAGTGATGCAGCTTTTCTTGGGAAAAGGGCATGTGGATCTTCTGGATGAACTGGTGACAATCCATTCATTCTACCCATATCCACGAGAAGGAAATGTCTTTATAAATTAGTGTTGGTTGGAGGTTAGGATTTTCTTAAGAATGTCCTATAATGAAAATTCTTGTTATTTTTCTTGTCTTATAGCAATGCACTGCACCATTCTAAACAATTCTATGAATGAATCCTGTATTAATTTCGGGCATTGTACTTCTGGATCAGACAACAGAAACATAATACCTGCCAAGATTCACGTGTCTGAAAAGAAATGGCATCAGATATTTTATAAATACCTCACCAGGCTCTCCCATTAATTGCGTGAAATGATAATTCTGGTGTTTTATAGCCTGACATATCCATCTCTACATCCAGAAATATTTTCCATACTTGGGCTGTTTATATTATTTTGGAAAAAGGACTTTGAAACTGAGCTTTAGTTTAAGCATATGTTTACTTTGTCATAGAGTCTGTGACAAATGGAAGTTTCTTCATCTGTAAAATGGGGGTAGCAATAATATCTAAACCATATGGTTATCGTAAGGATCAAATGTGATAACATATGAAAGAGCACTTTATAAACTGCATGACATCACACACACATTAATTGTAATAATATTCGTACTCCAGAAATAAACAGTCAACTGCACACATTCTATGGCTCAGATAACAAACACAGATAAGAAACACACCTGCATATTAAAACACACATGTGAAATTGTTGTTATTTTAAATATGCAATATGAACTTGCTGTACAAGCTCAAGGGTTAATAGCTACATAATTACAAATTGGACAACAAAAATTGGGAAGCCAAGTGGATGTGTTCATTGCATCTATTATGATGTTTGCCAGGAAAAGTGAAAAATCAACAGCTTCAATCTTTTACTTAACAGATGGAAATAAAACTACAACTCCAGCTCAGGAGTCATGTTTCCCTTTCATTTTGTTATTAAGTGTGAATTTATCTTCTTGGAACTTGAAATGATGTTATTGCAGATTATGTTGGGCAAATTGGCAACACTTTAAATAGAGTGACATTAAATAATGAATATTTCTCTATAGCAGAATAACAAATGGCAGGTTATAGGGCCATAAAAAATGTAATAGCTGTTAACAAGTACTGCCCTCACTAGCCTGACTGAAGAGATGATGATAACACAAAGCTGGCAGGAAAGAATACAGCACAGTGTATTTTCAGATTGCATTTGTATATGGAGGGCAGCGGCAGGATGTGGACTTGGGGAACAGATAGATGATGACATCCGGGACATGTGGGACAGAGTGGGAAAACAGAATGGCTTAGGAGGACTTTCATTCTTGCCTTCCCCGTGGAGCTCATGGGTGGAGGTATAAGGGGATATATAGGTAAAAATGTAGGTAAAAAGTAATTATAAAGTCAGAATAAACAAAGGTAAATATTTGGAAAGAAATGTCACTTCCCTGTTCCTGTTTTTTCTCCCCAGATGAGACTCCAACCAACAATTCACAGCTTGGTAAGATAATTAACATTATGTTGAAAATAAAAGTGCTACATTTAAAGTTTTTGGTGATCAGTTACAAAACTGTAGTCAACTAAATGTAATGAGCTCTAGTTTTACAAGTTTGTTATATTTTAAATAATAATAGCTTTCGAGGATTTTTGAACTCATATGTAATCTGTTGGTCAATTTTATAGCATTTTATAGTTTTTTAATTTTTGTTGTTGTTGTTGTTGTTGGTTTTGGCTGCCCATGGGATACCAGGCCTCTAAACTGTACAATCCTTTGCATATTGGGTTGAAATACAGCCAAATAGATTATAGCATAATCCATTGTCATGCTGTTACTCTGTAAGATACTAGTGACAGATGTTTTGCAGGTATAAATTGGAGTAAGGTGAGATAAATGTGATATGGGGACTTTATGACTGTGTGTTTCATTACTTGCAGGTTCTCCAAGTGTGCCTCCTTTCCAGCTGAACACCATCACTAGTGCACTGATATCTGGAATGGTCATTCTGGGAGTCATGAGCTTTTCCCTTCTCCTGTGCTCACTGGCCCTTCTACACAGGAAGGGACCCACCAGTTTGGTGTTGAATGGCATAAGAAACCCAGTCTTTGACTAACAGGCCCCTGTTGTCGGGAGAAGGCTTCACTGACTATACTATGTGTTACCGCAGTCAGTGTTCCATCTGAATTGAATGCCAGCCAACATTTGATATTTGTAAGTTTTGTAGATTTCATAGTGTAACTCATCAGCATGATGATAGTGAAATAATTTTGATAATATTGCTATTGTCACTTATGTATGAGGCCAGCCCTATTTTTATGGCATTAATGGGCATACTGACAATAAGTAAAAAATATTCAGGACTTAGATCTTATAGGACCTGTCATATTTCATTTTATTTTAATTTTCTTTTGATTGGTGGTTATAAAGATAAAAGGAAGGCATAGAAATAAATGGGATTTGTTGCATTTTTTTTCCCCTAAGTATTAAAGGCCAATGCAATAACATTTAGATTGCATATGTGGTATAAAATGAAAGTTGCTTTTTGTTTAATTCCAGATATTTCCAACTTGGGGATATGTTTTAATTGGACTGGAGAATTGGACACCTGAGATTTAATTACTCATTCTATGACCTCATGTGTTTTTGGCAGATTTCCATGTCTGATGACATTAATTTTTTAAAAATACTCTTAGGAAATGTACCTTAACCTGGGGCATCCATTTGTGTTGCAAATAGTAAAAGTAGTTGTTAATTTTCAAAGGAGATCATTTTTCATTTGGATAGGAATGGTTGTGATCAGTTTTCTCCTGGTTCATGTGAAAGCATCGGCACACGTTAACTCTCCTCCCAGGTAGACAATTCAGCTGCTATCACAGCTGTGCTTCCAGCAGTGAAGCAACTGTGCAAAGATTATTCTTAATTCAAGAATCATTACATGGAAAAACAAACCACAGTTGTGGGAAGAGTACATTGTAACCACCACATTAGCATAGTGTTCCTATAAGGTTTTTAACAGCCTCGGTTTCTTTTTTCCCCCTAGAACAAAGAAGAAACTTAGGTTAAGTGTAGTTTGCAGAACTTTGTTGGAGTTTACATTAAAAAAATGTTCCTTTTCCCCCTAATATTTGATGCCAGGTAAAACAATTAGTCTGGAGAGGGCTTCTTTTTAAGGTGTCTTCTTGTTGGTGTCATAATAGCCATGGAATAAACAATATTTTCCTGTAATAGTAAACTGCAAGAAGCATTTAATCCTGTATCAGGTTTTTAGAAAATACAAAAAGCCAAGTTTTGGGCAGCCCGTGTTCTTACAAAAAAAGACAACATTCTCTTTGTTCAAACTATCCACACAATTGAACAAATAAAACAGTTTAATGACAAACACCAAAACCTAGCATGCACAGTTTCTAGAAATGCTATTCTAACTATAAAAATTGCTGTAATAATTAATTTCTATTTAACAGTTGTGCCTTATTATTCAGGACTTAATTTACTATACTACATGCAACTTGTTATTCAATTTTAGATTTGTTTCAAATGAAGTGTCTATATGATGAGCGTCTATACTATGTCTATAATTAAATCAGTCAAATACCTTTTCTCCAATTTGCCTGAATATTTCAGAAGAAAGCGTTTATATTACAATCATGAGGTATATAATTGCATCAGCTTTCAATTTCAATGTGTAGACACAAGATGAAATGGAATCTGAAAAGTCTTCAGATAATTTCTTCAATATAAAAAAAGTTTAAATCACTTAAAAAGCCAATCTCCTCTTCCCTATGTTACTTCAAAAAAACTTTGAAGTGACCATTCTGAGCTTTATCTGTGTTGACGTGATTAACTGACAATGCTAGTAATGTGATCCTATATGTACATGGATAGTATTGAAATATTATAGTAAATCTATTTCACATACTTTTGGTGAATTGCCATTGATCCAAGGATTAAGTTCTGTGATAGGACATTATATCATTGAAGCCGGCTTGTCAGTTTGATTTTTATGCATTTGGAGTGGTTACTGTTTCAACTGTTGACCTTTTAAATTCTATACTCCATTTTATAGAACTGAATAATGAACATATATCATTTTGGAAGCAACTTAAGTCTCATATTATTTTTTGCCACCCTTTTATCATAAATGAGAGAACCAGAACTATAATGAGATAAACCAGGTCTGTTCTATATAGTATTGTCCTTATAAACCTGCAGTTGTATGTAGTATTTAGTTATACTGAATTTTTCATTTATTGTAGCGTGAAAACCTTACAAAATATGTGCAAATGTTCCTTCAGTTTTAATACCTCAGACTGTTTTTTGCACTTCAGGGGTAAGGTCTGATGATATGTAAAAAAAAGATGATTGTTTAATAAAATAATTATAAATGAATATCTTTAAAATATTGACTTTTTAAAATAGAAATATATGTCTCCTTCTTACTATCATCATCCTATTTCTACTTCCATGAATACTGAGAAAGATTTAGTCTAAAATAAGATGTGTGACACAACAGGGAAGGTCTGTGATCTCTGCAGGTTAGGTGAAGTCTGTCCTCTCAATATTGAGCTATCTGGCTAAGGCCTTGTGTCGGGTGACATATCCTTGAAATCGGCTGAGGGTAAGAAGTACACTTTGTCTTGAGCTTGAGCTCTGACTCAGTTGAGTATAAGATTTTTAAAACTTTGATGGGGGCAGTAAAAACTGGAAAGACAGTCTCAGCTTCTGCTCAGAGTTTCAGTCTGTCCTAACAGTTCCAGTCTGGCTGTCATCCCTTCTCTTGGGGTAGGGCAGGGAGGCAGCAACACAGCATTGAGGAAAAGTCCTTTTCCTGACTCAGGGAGAATTAAATCTTGCAGAAGTGGTCACTACTCTAAACCCTCAAGAGTGGGCAAGTAGGTATGGGCAATCACAAAACATAATGGTTCATGAGGGGCATTGTCAGCTGCGGAAAATGTAAGGCCACTTTACGCAGCCTCACAGGCAGTGAACTTCTAGAAGTGAGAATAGAGCAGGAAAAGTTTATGGGAGATGCTTATTTGTGAGCATATGAGGCACAGTTTGAGGAATTCCCAGAGCACATGTCAGGAGAGAATTGCAGTGGAATGGAGGGCCAGCACTTACTTGCTCTCATTCCGTATTTATAAGAAAAAGAACAAGCTGATCATAGATGGATTGCTTTTGGGAATAAGGTTCTTCAATTATTTACAAGTGGGAGACATTCGAGATAAACAATCCAAATTTGTGATTTGGAAAAAAACTTCAAAAGAATTCTTGAGTAGTAAAACAAATACCAGGGTGAGGTGCTGGCCAGTTAGTTCAGTTGCTTAGAGCGTCGTGCTGACAACACCAGGGTCCAGAGATCCATCCCTGTACCAGTCATCTGCTAAAAGAAAAGAGAAAACAAATACCAGGGTGAGCTGTATATTAGTCAGGTTCTTCAGGAAAAAAAGAACCAGTAGGAGATATATATATATATATATATTTATGTAAAATAAGGAATTGGCTCACATAATTATGGAGGCTGAACAAGCCCCAAATCTGCAGTTGGCAAGTTGAAGACCAGGAGAGCTGATGGTGTAGTTCTAGTCCAAAAACTGTCAGGCTTGAGACCCAGGAAGAGGTGATGTTTCAATTCAAGTCCAAAGGCAGGAAAAAACCAATGTCCAAGCTTGAAAAGCTGTCAGGCAGAAGGAATTCCCTCTTTAACTTGCAGGAGGGTCAGACTTGTTGTTCTGTTCATGCTTTCAACTGATAGGATGTATCACACTGCTAAGAAGGAAAACTTCCTAATCAGTTAAGTGATGTAGGGAATGAATAAATAAACATGGTTTAAAATTCGACAGTACAAGTGAAGTGATTTTGAAATATTTAATGTCTGGAGGTAAGGGTTTGTGAACAGAGTCCTCTTTTATATTAGCTGAATAAATGGATCAAATGAAAGGAAGACAGGGCCATGGATAGACTCTAAAGTCATGCCAAATTACCCCACAACATTAGGAGAAACTGGGCACAAGGAGGCATGGCCTGGCAGTATCCACTGGACCCACATCCACCAGGGTTGGCACTGAGGGTGCTGGCAGCCAAGGAGAGGAGGAATGACATCAGCAGGTACAACAGGCCAGGAGCAGTAAAGAATGTAAAACAGATAGCAGAGATAATAGGGGGAAAATGCAACAGGAATGTTCTGGACACTGGGAGAAGAGGTCGCTTCTTAGAAGGACCTAGAATCTTCGATAGCTATTGCCCACATTGCTCATGATGGCAGCCTGCCTCCTCCAGAGGCTCAAGGTAAGTGGAAACTAGATAAGAAAGTTATATTTTCATGTTTATGAGAAAATCTTGCCTGACAGCTTATTGGCAAACAGCACCAGTCTCTGCATATTTGAATAACAAAGAAGAACCGAAATAATCTTGATTAATGCCACTTTTTGCTGAGCTAGCAAGGAGAGGATTGATTTGGGGGGCGTCAGCTCATGTGTGTTAGACATAATATTTAGAAATCTCTGCTCAGTAATCTCTATTTATAAAATGCTTTGCATTCTTGGCAAAGTGAATTTGAGAACTCAGGTTGTTACCTGCATATCAAACCTTCAATTCCCCTTTGCCTCAAGTATCTGGATATTTCCTTTTTTATTTGTATTGGCAACATACCTCAATTTTCCCTTTTATTTTCTGTATAGAAAAGAGCAGTGCTATCATTAAATGGAGCTTCAGTCAAAGGCAATGTTACCCAAATTTTGAGGTTAGTTTTCATCAGCGGTATAGCTGTGTTAGCATTGCCCAAAGCAGAAGCCATTCCTGAATAATCCTGCTGGGCTGACTAATCAACTAACACTGGAGATCCTGGGAGAGTTGTGGTTTGACAATTTCATGCAACTCTGACTCAAAGTTATACAGGTCCTGAAGCTATTTCTCCTGTTTATGTAATTTTGTTACTTTTTTTTTTACAGTAGTGAAAAATTGACTAAAATGAAAAATTACCTCAGAAGAAATATAGTTGTTTTTGGTAATTATTTACTCCCTAGAAATTAGAACTAATTTGTTCTTTAAAAGCTGTTTTGCTAACATTATTTTGTGGTTGATTAAATGAGATGGCAGAGAATGATGTAGGGTGTCTTCTGTGAGAGAAATTGAACCAAATGATCCTTCTTGCATCCCATAATGA